AAAAAATTTCATACAAAACCTACTATTGTATCGTACATATAAGTTTAATAAATTTGGAAAAAAAAGTTAAATATTATTCATAACTTTAAAAACACTAATATTTCTTTGCTTATATATCTAAAATGTATGTACAAAGGGAAAAAATTTGAGAAAAATATAAGTTACCAATCAATTGTGTTTTGTTTGTATGTATTTGAGTGAACATAAAGATGCATGTGCATCAGTATGATTATCAAACTATGCATACCATATGCCTAAAAAATTATAAACAAGTTGTGAATAAAAAAAATAGAGGTAAAACTGGTGAAGAGAAATATAACCAAGTGAAAATCTAAGTAAATTGGAGATATATAAGACAAAAAAAATAAATTAAACATATTCTAGAATAAAAACTAAATACTATCTTTTCCCATATTAAGTTAATTCGAATATTATTTTAAAATAAATATTTATATTATTATTTCTGACATATAATTGCCACTGACACTAACATTTATATTGTTGTTATATTAATAACCATAATAATTAACATGTAAGAAATTGTATTAGTTAAATTTAGTTATAATTTATTATTCACATAAAAATATACTGACATACATATTATTTTTTTTATGTATCAAGTACTAATAATTAATTTGGAGTAATATATTGAACAGTTTTTGTTCACTGTACTTTACTTAAGTATGTTGCTTTCAAGGAAAAGTAAAGATCAAATTGATTGCAAGTTGTTAATCATGATTTTTTATATGTCAATAATTGTGGACTTATACCTTAACAAATAGACTGAAATATACTTAATTGAGAAAGAATGAAACATGTTGAATATGTCACTTTTTTCATAATACAATAATATGAATGAAAAAATATTGATGTTTCATCCTATCATTCATTTGATGATAAAAAAAATGGTTTTATATTTATAAACAATTAAAAGGAAAAATGTCTCTTAAATATATCTTGTGTAATCAATCAACTAATACAATCTCAATACGATGACCCACCTTAATATGACAGTTAGCATAGAGTGAAGTCATGACAATTACTTTATGACATCGAAGTAATAAATTCAGAGGAATTGATTCATAATACAAATAATAAAAATGATCAATAAATAAATATTTGAGATCTAAGTAGCTTAACTTTATTATTCTTTCTTTCACTCTTTCAATGCATTATAACATATGTGCATACCTAGGTGTGAATATTCAAAAGTTATGAATCCTTAGAATTGGGACGTGATAGATTGATGTTCTAGTCAATGATGATAATTAAAAATAAAGTAGGAGCTATATTGTCATATTCCACAATGCAGTTAGATAATTTAATAGCATTGTTGATGGAGGAAGCGTAGACCAGAATGCTTACTTTAAAAGTGGAGGATAAAGATAGACATCTATAATTATTTTGAAATTGGTGCAGCCTCATTTCAAAAGAGTAATGGAGCCTCAAATTGCTATGCCCTGATTGTTGTGAATAACGGAATCTTTTATAGCATTTATTGATCAAAGAAATATAAGATATGCCTTATGGTGTCTACTTTTGATAGCGCGGATAAACATTGGTAGTTGGGCTAGCAAATAAAGAGATTTTGGGGTAGGATGAATTTCTGGATCATGTGGGAGGCATTCTTCGAAATTTTTTAGATATTGGTATGTTCCACCATCAGCAAAGTAACACAAGTAGGAGATTTCTTGAGATTGATTAAAGTTTAAGGCTGAGTTTACAACTTTTATTAGTGCACTGTAGTTGAGTTTGCTACTCTTATTAGTGCACTAGAGATAAATAGCACTATTAAGGAAAAGTTATATTATTTTTTTGAGATAATTTGAGGCATTCAATGTTTCCATTTTGCATCAAAAAATACACTTGATTGAGAGGTGAGCTTAATAAAGAATAATTTGATGGCAACCCGATAATATTATGATGTTTGTTAGAGAGATTTGGAGTTCTACTAGAGCGCTAACGGGATGATCTAAGAGTTTTTCTATAGTTTCTAAGAATAAAATTTTATTTGATTTTGTAATAGTTCTCCAATATATACTTTTTTGTTAAAAGAAAAGAGTATCATGGTCAATGTATTTATTACTGTACTGTAGGTGTAATAAGTCAAGCCAAGGAATAACACCATCCATAGAAGCATTTGAGGGAAGATTAGATGTTACAATAGATCAAATTATGATATTCAATGAATGGTAGTCACATGCACACAATAAGAATTCTCAGTAATGAGTCATTGAGTGAAGGTAGTGAGAGTATATTTATTATTGTACTATAGGTGTGATCAGTAAAGCCATGGGATAACACCATCCCCATAGAGAACATTTTAGGGAATATTAGATGTTACAATGGATCAAAATATGATAAGCAATGAATCGTACTCACAAACTCACAGTAAGAGTTCTCAACAAGGGGTCATTAAACAGAGGTGGTTGAAGGTTCAACCGGAGCAAACAAGGGGATTAACGCAATGATAATTATAAAAACAATAATAATATTATCATATATTGTGTATATGTTATATACTAAATATGATAAAAATTTATCATGAGTCATTTTTAAAAATTGTTAGTGAATTTAGACATCAGATTCAATAAAATCATTAGCATAAAAATTCTAAAAATTTTGGTTAGCTTTCTAAAACATATAATAACTTAAAATTTGGAGAAAAAAAGAAATTATGATCAAAATACTCAGAGGTGATCAACATATCCAAAAAAAATCAAAGTAGTTTTCATACAAACCCAACTCACCCCATCATGGGTTGTGTCATAAATAACACAAAACTTTAATGTTGTGTTATGAAGAAAAAGCAAAACAAAGTATTCTGTCCCAGGTGCCCAAATAACATGAACTAAAGCAATCAAACATAACAGTACAAGGAATGAAACTTCTGAAAGTCATGTGATGATAATAAAGATGAAATAAAAAATGGTTTGAATGTTGAAAAGGGTTTTGCTCATAATTAAATAAGGCCAAAATGAAGTTATGTTGTAGAAAAGTTATAACAATGTAGTAATAATTTGTACCCAACACAAAAGAAGTGTTTATAATTGTTAACTTTAAAAGAAAAGAAGTAAATAACAGAAAATTTGTATTGCTAGGCTTCAAAAACCCAAAAAAATTTAGTGAGGTTTGTTAGTAGAATTATACAAAATATCAAATATGAGGGAGACAATTAATAAACACAAGATCACTAATTATTGTCAATATTACAAGAAGATAGGTTTATATATTGTTCCAAATTTGGGGGGGAGATTATTCTCACCACAAAGATAAGAGTACTTAAGATTGAGATAAAGGAAGAGAGAGTAAAAAATGGAGGAGAATAAGTCTAGGCTTGTATTTTTCTTTTTTGTCATAGAGCTCGTGATGCCCCTTTATGCATGTCGCCTCTCATTTATAAACAATAGGGTATGATTAAATAAATGAAAAGAATATTATAATAGAAGTACATGATGACATTTGATACCAAGGCATATCTTATGATGCATGCGAAGCTGTAATTCCTCGTGTGACATAAATGATCCTATAATATCATTGACCATTGATTGATAGGAAAAATCAATGAGTAAACAGCGTGTCAAACTTAGAGGCCAAAATAGATATGGATAGAGCCAAAGTTGGTCATTGGGCAATTTCATATTCCTATTTTTGGGCATTGATTGGCCTATGTTGAGTAGTCACAAATAAGGTCTAAGCTATTCATTTGGTGAATTTTGATCTTTTCATTAGTGAATTCTTGGGTCATTTCAGAAGGTTAAGTGTTAACATAGACTCAAAGTAAATCGATGCCAACTTCTTAGTTTGTGCTACTTAGGTGGCAAACGGGCACCTGAGGGGATCTGATCAAAATCAACCCATTTACTGGCTATATGAGTTAGTGGGTTTAGGTCAACCTAGCACGAATGACCCATGGATTTACTTCTCTAATTGGTAGATTGGCCTTGACCTAAACATTTTTTGTGTGCACAAAAATAAAAATAAATAATTTGAAATACAAAAAAAAGGCCTTGTGAGCCCTCTGTCTGCAAGCAAGCCTATCACTTTGTATCAACCATAGAAGCAACATATCATTAAATCTTAAATTCATTCACGATTTTCTATTAAAATGTATTTTAAGCAAAATTTTTGGTGTTAATGCTTTTAAATGGAAGAAGATAAATACTAATGTGGGAACTATTAAAGTAATAAATCAAAGCTTATTATCTCTATTACAAGACAGATTTTTAATAAAAGTTTAAAAATTCACGTGGATGCAGAGCAAATGGATATATATATATATAT